CGGTACCACACCGTGTACTCCACATCCGCGCCGCCACCGCCTGCCACACACACACACCCACAACCGGCCCGTACTATACTGTACCATACCAACATAACAGGTAGACGACACTATCCTAATATTATATCATAATATATTTAACTATGAAATTGCCATTTTGTATGAAAAAAACGATATTTTGTATGTACGTCTTATTTATATTACTCGAAGTAACAACCGATGCAATCAATGCATCTTTGCTAACGCAGTGGCAGTTTATTGATACCTTTCTTAAAGAAATCAGCTGGACGGGAGGCAACAAATTCTTTAAAGGCATTTTGTGCTGGCTCTCGGGTATTGAATTTTTCCCGCCTAGAAGTTATACAAATTCTGCAAGTAGTACTCTGTAGGCGCAAGGGCCAGTGAGTAAGGCAGATGACGGGGAGCTTCCAACCCCAGTTCTAGCAAGCGATTGACCAATGATGGTTAGAGATGATGGAGAAGCTGGCAGCTCATCAATCATTGTGTTCAATTCGTTACAGTACACATCTGCAGCAATGCTCACCCTGTTTGGTAATAAGCTGTAATGAATCACACCGGCGCTAGACCACCAAACAGTAACCAACACTTTTCTAGGGGAAAGTTTTCGTTTAGGGCATTGATTAGGTGCTGAACCAGGATCCAACCTACTTGTTGAGCGCTTGCGGTTATCAAACAGAATCTATTTTTCATCGTAGGTAATAATGCGGTCGAAATCCCTTCATTTCTGTGTCTGTTGAGCAGTGTAAGGCACGTCTCAACGTGTACTTCGCGCTGGCAATCATTGAGTTTGTGGGTCACGTTATTAAGCTTTTTTACATAGCATATTAAGCTTTTTTACATATACATACAAGCTTTTTTACCTTGCCAATTTGACGCAAATGGACCAATATTGTTTTGACACCGACGTTGAAAGCTGCTGCTAATTCAGCCGTAGATTGTGTATCATCAGCTTCCGCAATCGCCTTTAAGACGTTATTGTCGACCAGTCTTCGGGCGACCGTGAGGTGTTTTTTTTCCAGAAGGGAAGCGACGAAACCAGTGGCAGGTGGTGCGTTAGTTTTAGAGTTAGCTCCGTAAACGTGGTTGATGTTGCGTGTCGCTTGTGTTGTGTCGCGTTTTTGCTACGACGGTACTCATATTCCATAAAAAGATTAAAATGCGATGAAAATATTAAACTAATTAATAAACAAATGACTACTTTTGGAAAGTAATTCCGTGTTGTAAAATAAAATTTATTTTAACTGTGGTTTTTAGCCAAACAAAAATTATTTTGATATAAAATGGCATTGGGAAGGCCTATGTCCAGCAGTGGGCAGGTGAAGGCTGTTGATGATGATGATGATGATGATGAAAATGGCCAGTTCGACAGAACGCCAATTTCATAGGTAAAAGTATTTAATCGATGAAAGAATTCGTTATAGCGACAAGTACAATCAATCAATCATTCGTATCTACTTCCTGGTATATAATAATTGGTAATGTAGGTTTTGTTAAATTAGCTTTATAGAAATATTCTTTTAAAAGTCTTTCTTTTTAATCAATTAAATAATCACCCTCGTTATCCATCATCTTTTACCATCTAGTGGGCAAATTTTCAATCCCGGATGTATAAAAATCAATTGTTTTTTGATTAAAATATCCCGAGATGGCATTTTGGACATCATCCACATTTACAAATTTTTCCACTAAGAAAGTGCTGTAGCGATCGGAATAAATGGAAATCCGAGGGTGCAATATCGGGCGACTATGGTGGGTGAGGCAGTACTCCTACCCCAATTCATTTAGTCTAGCATTGACATGTAGAAGGTAGCAGAACGTGTTTGTTTGGCTATTTTATCCCAAATTGCAGAAAAAAGTTTAATATTGAATTATTTGGAAGTAAGCAAGTCACAATAACCTTAAAAGGACTTTGCACGCCTTCGAAATATTATACACTGTGAGCTGATAAAAGACGAAAATATCGACATGCGCAGAAACGACATTACTTTCCGTTCCCCCTAATAGATAAGAGGCGTGTGCACTCACCGGGCACCCAGGAGAGGTGAATGGCGCTTGCGGCGGGGAGCGCCGTCAGGTTGTAGGGC